GTGCAGCGGTGCTGTGGGTGCAGCAGTGCAGCAGGGCACCCAGACGCCTCTCCTGCCCCAGCACACCGCTCTCGGTCTCTCCTCCCTGAGCCACTCCTTTTCTTTTCCTTGCAGCGCTGTTTTCTTTGTGACCTACTTGATTCTTGCTTGCTGCTCCGGACCCAGGTAAAATATTTTTCTTTTTTGGCTTTGAAACAGCCCCGTGGAACGAGGGATGGATGTTTTCCTCTTGTTTCAAGCATGACCCAACAACGTTGCAGAGGTGGGACGGGGCCGTGCCGACGCGGTGATGCAGGGACCGAGGCGGCAGCTCTGTTTTCAGCGGTGGTGGGGTTGCTGCAACGCAGCAATAAAAGCTGAAGGCAAATTGCAACCGGAAAAGAAGCGATGATGCAGCCACAATTGCATCACTGCAGCCAGAACCGCATCACCGTGTAGCTCCGAATCCTCCTTGTTAAATCCCGCCGAGGTCCATGCCCTGGGCAGCTCGGCACTGCCGACCGCTTTGCTGGAATACCACGGGGACATTTGTCCTCTGGGTCTCAGGGCAGCCCCGGTGTGTCCCATTCCCGCAGGATGACTGTCCCCTTGCACCATCCCGGCCGTTTGCTGCACGCACCATTAATTACCTTTTTGTCTCGCGCAGCCTGTTGTGCGGCACTCGGGCTGACCAGCCCCTCTTCTTTCTCCCCTTGCAGGAGGTATTTCCCATGGAATCTGATCCTGCTGAGCATCTTTGTGAGTAGCACATCTGGACAGCATCTGCCCCTGCGCCAGCCCCGGGGTTTCGCAATGGGAGAGATGTGTCTGCTCAGGATTCCTGCAGAAAGCGGGAATTTCAGCCTCAAATTGCCCCAAACCTGGGCTGAGGAGCTGTCGTTGAACTAGAATGTGATAAGCAGGAAAGAAGGGAGGCTCTGTTTAAATGAAAAAAAAATAAATTTAAAAACCCTGGGGAGGGTGGTGGGTGGTGGGAGCTGTGGTGGGTGCAGGAGAGGGGCAGCGGGATGGAGGCGGTGGGACCACTCTGGGGTGGTGTCCTGGCCTCCCTTTAACCTGCCCTGCGGATATTGATCACGGGAGGATTAGAAACTCTGCAAAATGCCTTTTCTTGAGCATCCGTGTGAGGGTTTTTGTGGCCCTTCTCGCTGTAACTGCAATGTTTGACCTGTCGCGTGTCTGTCCCCGGGACGCGGATGCAGAACTAACGCGGTTCTTGTTCCCCCAGACCCTCTCCATGGCTTATCTCACCGGGATGCTCTCCAGGTAGGTTGAACATGGCATCCCTGGAGGGTTTCTGGTCCTATGTGTCTCTTCCTGCAATAACCCTTCCCTGCTTCTGACACACGTGGGCCCCCTGATCCCCCCGGAGCGGCTCCAGCAGCCCCCAAAGACCGACCCCCCCGCGGGGGCACGATTTGAAGAAAGTCCC